GTATATTATGTATCTAATTGACAAGGCTATGAGCCATTACTCCTGCATATAGCAAATGCTATTTTAGTGCAGTTTTGAGTGACTACATGTGTTGTCAAACACATACAACCTTAAATATACTACATATTTGACGTTCTATACATGTCTGCACTGAGGCATAATAAACCAGTATTGAGGTAAACGTGCTAAAAGCTGCTTCCTTCTTTGTTTTTAGTGATGTACCAGCCACAAGTACAAGCACTGAGATGAAAACGTTAGATGGCTGAGAGTAACGAGACAGTAATGAAGATAGAAGACGTTGCCAGTTTGTGGTGGGCCCTGACAGAGAAGGTCGCTGGCTGCAGATACGACCAGCTGAGACAGCATAAAACTCACTGTCCAGAATGTCTCCCAGGCCCTGGGCACGGAGCAGTTCCTTCAGCCGGGCCACTTCATCCTTCAGTTCGCGCACCAACTTATTGTTGGGATCCTCATTGATGACAGCATTGCATTTGATGTTCTTGGCGCGGTCAGCATAGCTAAAAAACATAATAAAACAAATAATTTTAAGTGTAATTCAAACAATCACAATCTTTCTCCAGCACAGAAAGCTTACCGCAGAGTGCTGAGGGTTTCATCGTAGTTTATGTCTGCAGGACTGAGGGCAGCTACCATGGCTGTTCTGGAGTTCCCACCTGATAAAAGATCAGTAGAGATGTCAGATAAGCATTGAGGACCAAACATGACCAAAGGCACATATAATTTCTATGAAAATACAACACTTTTTAAAAGCTCGTCAAATGAAATACATTTTTTGTGTAATCAAGAGCTTCATTAGACTAAATCTAAGATACACTGCACACTTTTTGTGACACGTCTGGACCAAGGAGGTGAGGTGACTATGCTCTTCTTAAACTTCCTGAGAGCAATGTAGACTATTTCAAGTCTTTTCTTTTTTTTAATCCTGACTGCATATTCCATTATGCAAATGGCTCAATTTCTCTGGCTGTCTACAAATACGGATTTTCATACGTAATTTACTGGCAAACCACTATTGTCACATAGTAACGTCAATTAATCAAGTGATACTAATATTCATACCGAGGTTCTCCCTCAGCAGCCATGTCAGAACAGAGTCCCTGTATGGGATGAAATCACTCTTCTTCTTCTTCTTGCTCTGCGGTAAGTAAAAAAAAATAAATAAATCAATATATGAGTAAAAATGAGCTGATGTAATGATGTACAAATTATGGAAGCGACTGGAGGCTGTACAATATTATGTTGTAATAGAAAAAAAAAGATCCTTATGTGTAAGGGTCAATATGTCAGGTAAAATGAGGAGAGAGTTAATTTGACATGCATTTGCTCTTGTGCAGGGATTGAGGGTTTAAGGTTTAAAACTGATAACAGCTAAATATCTGTAACTTAATTGCTGCACATGACCAAAGGCTGTCAAATCTGTCTCATGGGATGAATGACAGGTTAGTGGTTTAGCTGTCAAAGGGTTTACCTTGCTGGTACAATTATCCTGTGCAAGTAAGCATTACAAGGACAAGAGAAGAGAGAACAGAAGGGCAGACATTACAGCATGCCAGGCTACAAACATGAATTCCTTTTGAAGGTAGGGTCAAGTTGTAGAGGATAAGAGAACGACTGCAAAGGAGGAGGAGGAGAGAAATAAAGGAAATAAAATCAAGTGTAAGACTCACCACTTCAGCCAAGGCAGAGATAACCTTTCCTAACGTGGTGAGAGACTTGTTGATGTTTGCTCCCTCCTGCAAGCACAGACAAAAAACAAAAACAGAATAAAATTACACAGATTTCCAGGTTATACAAGCCATTTTTTTATGTGATTCCAAGGTGTTTGGGAAGATCGGAGTCTTACCTTTAGCCTGGTACCTTTAGCTCCAGTTGAATCTGCTCGCTCACTGCCTGCCAAGTCTACCAGACTAATTTTACTGACCTAAAGGGAGGGAGTAAATGCATTAGATGCATCAGGCCTATAATAATGTGCATTTAATAGGGTGGGAAAATAAATAAATAAATAAATAAAATACAGCTCTTAGCTTCACCAATGCCAAATCTAAATTTCTGCATAATGTTGACCACATCAGAAAAAGATAGAGGAGCACAGTGCAGCACTTGGATGATGTACAGACTCCTCATACTAAAGCTACTGCATGACACAGGTTAGTATCTTATGAACAGCCTGGACACAGTAATGAGCTGAGCATCAGCGACAAAGCACGCACTATAAAACTTGACCAGCTCTGGTGAGGTGAAATAGCTCCATCAGTGTAATCTATTACAAAAGATCTGTTCCATTACTGCAACAGAAACAGCGCTGCTGGAGGTATGACGTAAAAAATGAAAGCTCCACTTTCACTTTATTTATAGTTTTTATGTCAAGGAAAACGTATGCCTGGTGCTCCCGGGCCAAGCAGCAGTTTCACACAAATCACATTAGAAAATAATTTATAAAGGAAATCAATTCTAAATGCAAAACGTTTTTGCATTTAACATTTTTGCATTTAGAAAACAGAGACAACAACAATCCCAAAAAGCAAATTCCAGTTTAATGGTTTAAATCCCACCATAAAAATCTGCAGAATGAATTGTTGAACACATTCAAAGCATTTGGGGGCATTCCTGTCAAGTGAGATGGAGCAAGGGTGTAAAATCTAACAGAGTGGCCACATACAATAGGCATTGTTTACAGTAACACAGCGGTCTTTGTTCCTCCACAGTCTGAGGAAATGCTAAAAGTCAAATCTAAAATGGCTCTCTCTCTTTTTTTTCCTGCCTCCTGTGACCACTAACTGGAGGAGACTAAAGGACCAAAGAAAGCTTTTAACCCATTTTTCAGTCTAAATAAAACAGCATAAAGAAATTCATCTCTAACAAACACGAGGAAGGAACTTTAAGTGTATTTGAGTGTGAATGTTTTACAGACTAATTATAAACAAAGAGGGCGACTGTTTTCCTGCTCTGACCTTTTCTGTGGAGAGGTCCGTCTCGCTGTCGTGTTTCTTCTGAGTGAAGACAATGGTGAAAACAGCATGGGACCTGCTGCTTGTCTCATTCATGTTGGTGGCAGCCACAGTTCTGGAGTTTAGCACATATGGGAACAGTTAGGAAATAAACAGTATGATTTCTGAGCACCTTAATAACCACACAATATTCTTTTAAAGGAAAATTAATTCCTAATTCTTAGTCTTGGCTATTACTAGCGCTATCATCAGTGGGTTTTACACCTATTAGAGTGAAGTAAGTCTAAAGGATTACTTTGTGCGGCGGAGGTGGATAATAACGCGAGGACGCCAAACACAAATACATGAGGAGTGCTCAGAGGGATAGTCACAGGGGAGATGTGGGCTTTACGTGGCATGTTCTAGAAATAAGCCTTCTAAGTCAGCACAGTGAGATTATGGCAGGGTTCACTCCTCCTCACACGAGCCCTCGTGCACGCGCACATTTCATTGAAAAATACTCATTACCTGCCAGGTCAAGCTTGACATGCGGTTATATTTAAAAAAATAAATAAATAAATGAAGGCGGTAACACAGTGAAGGCTGAGCTGTCTTGCTGTTTAACAATTCAATCCTTGCAAATGAGTCATACAAGAACATTTCCTGATTCAAAGCTAATTTTTATCTTTTATCAACCTGGCTGACCGTTGATTATCAGATCACCACAGCTGTCGCCACAACTTTAGCCCCTCCCGCTCCTTCCTGTGATCTCAGCATGATCTCAGGGCTTAGCTCACCTGGCCTTGTTGCCTGCATCCATCAGGTCAGCGATGTCTGTGTAGGAGGTGACAGCTAGCTTGGACAGATCCTCTACATAGGGACCCAACAGCGGGTGTTCTCGGACTCGTAGGTTCCCTTTGTTCTTGGGGTTGAGCAAATCTCGGACGCGCTCGCAGTAGATCTCCATGTAACTGACCTGGAAACAATTTCAGAAGTACAGAGAGTAATTTCAGGTGCCCCAGGTTGAATATATTAAGCTAATATTGTGCAGCTCTGTACAAAGAATACATATTAATGTCACTATTAATATATATAAGAGGAGGTATTTGCATGCATATATTAAGGTCAGAGAACATAAGAACATAAGATATACTTTATTTATCCCAGATTTGGGGAATTATCCAGACCACAATCGCACCTCAACTTCACAGTCACACTTTTGTTTTCCCAATTTTACTGGCAGAGATTTGCAAAGAAAACCATGCAGTATGTGACTGAAGTCTGGGAAATGCTCAGGAAAGAGCAGCGAACACAAAAAGTTAGGGGCAGAGGTGAACCATGAGGACTACAAATACCAAAGAAGAATGATACTCACCTCTACTGAGTAGGAGAGCTCCTCTTTGTTGCCGTCCTCATTGATCTTCTCAAACAGATCTTCACACAGCTGAGTGGCAAAGAAAAAAAACATTTTAGTTCAAATGACGGCAACCAGAGACATAAAAGAGGCGATAAATAGGCGTGAGATCTGTGGGCTTCTTATAAAGCAAACACTTAAATAGTTATAGCCTGAAAACTTTGTCTAAAGGCTAGAATGAATCTAAAATTGTAAACTTTGGCCAAATGTCATTCACTTTCCACACCGCTCTAAATTGCTTTCAGTGTGGTTGCAGCTTAAAGGACTTAAAGTTGTTTCAGTTCTTCTATTTTAGACTGTTTTAATGTTCTGAAAGGTGAATTTAGAAACTTTCTATCCATTAGATCTGACAATCTGATCAAAGGAGGGGAAAGAGCCAGATCAAAGCTTTGGGAGAGGACACATTTGTCATTACATACATTATTTAAGTGTATTAAAAAAAATCTGTTATGCACATATTTTTCAGGCTTTTCATCATAAACAAGGCACTACGTGTAATATTTCCAGAGCTCTGATGGTCTAAGATGTGTACAGAATTATGACAACAATAATTAGTAGATTAAATGGACTCAGCAGTTTGTGAGTTGTACTATACATTCAAGGCTCTAAATGAGCAGGAATAGTAAACAGACTACAAGACAAGGGACTGCATTATTTGTCTTAGTCTCTGCAGTGCAGTGAATGGTGAATGAGGTTTTGTTGAACAAACCATGGGAATGATTCCTTCCTGCCCCTCCTCCTGCTTGCCCATCATGGTGTAGGATTTGCCAGCTCCTGTCTGGCCATAAGCGAAGATGCAGACGTTATAACCCTCAAAAGCATGCTGCAGCATTTCCTTTCCAATGTCATTGTACACAAGGTTCTGTGAGGCAAAGCTGGGGTCATCGGGCTGCAATAAAAAGAGAAAAATATATTTAAATATATGCATCATCACAATAAGATTTGCATATTTTCTTTGCTTTTAGTGATTAGAGTTAAAAACTCACAGAGGTATGAGACCAATAGGAGTAATCAAAACTGAAGGTCTTTGCTGGTTCCTTTGGGGCTTTGGGGTTGAGGATAGCTGTGGAGGAGGAACAAAAATTAGTAATGGGGTTGATATTTTCTAGATTGAAAGTTGAAGTGACACAAAAACTACTCGCATGTTCTGTTATTTTAAAAAGCTGCCTTTAGTTAGTTTATGATGTCTTCTACAGAATTCTTTAGTTTTCTGTTTCTTCAACCAAAAGCAGCTTCTGTGCTCAATAATATATATAACCATGCATTCCTCATGTTTTCCCTTCATGTCTTTCCTACATTTCTTTTTAAAGTAAATAAATAAACCGGTACACTGTAAATTTAAATTGGAGTTACTAAATAGACCCAAATGATAATATATATATATATATGTATATATGTGATCCTGGTTGGCAAATAGCAGCTACCTCAGGTTCCTGTTCCTCAATTAGAGAGATATTTCTGGCAATGCAAGTCACATGAAACAGTGGCAAACTACGAGATGCTGGCTGCTTCCTTTTTTTTGAGAACTGCAACTGTTGCAGCAAGCTCTGCCACATATGCTTTATCCTTAACCAGTGTTTTAATCATCATCATTAAGATTGACATCGTTACAAAATGTCAATCAAAAGCAGAGTTTGAATGAAAAACACCAGCCTACTTCAATCACACCACTTCACCTGCTCTCGCTCAACACTACTCAGCCATTCCCCGTCGCCACATGGACAGTTTTTAATGAACAGAAATCTGCTGCCATGCCTGGCATGTCACACTCCTCAACCATGCTGGTTGGTACTGCCGGTGACAAGTGCACTAGATTTCACACTGGATATGTGACAGGCAGAAAGCGGGATGTTAATTTACTATAAGATAACCACAGAAATCACTCCTCTTAGACAAACTAAACTTTAGGGATTAGAGTTGTTTTGTGCCATGGCTGCAGCAAGAGACTTTGCTCAGGCCAGGCAGACAAATGCATACCACCACCTTTAGAAGTGAGGAGGAAGTGGGAGAGGAAGGAGTGAGAAAGAGGCTAGTGAAAGAGGGGTTTGGAGAGACTAAAATAATGTGAGTGCTCAAGGCCCTAGCAACAGTCCAAACAGATCAACAACAGAAACCGAAGGCAGGACAAAAGGGAAAAAACTATCTGCGTCTTAGTAAGAATGCTACAGTCTGTGAGCGTAAGTATTTAGAGCATTTTCAATCTTTCCAGGGAAGTCTGCAGAAGCAGTCACAAAGGAATAATTAGCGTTGTGTGATGCCCTGTGCTAATGGGCAAATTAAAGCCAGGTTTGGCTCCTCAACATGACGGTGCTTGAGAGGCTTTTGCATCAAGATGTCGCCAGCAGAGTGCCTTATGTAGTCAGAGGATTTCAGCGCGCTTATCAATAATGCAGGAGATCTGGAGAGACGGGGATAGCATATCGCCCTCCATGGGTCACAGGCTGACAGAAAAGCACATCATGTCCTCAGAAACCAGAACACTAACTGCTTCATGCTAAATCTATGATGATTAAAGCAGCAGCTATTTCACTGAAGCTCATATAGATTCATGCAAAAATAATCCATTTGACTGTGCACTCTACAATCTTTGAACAGGTTAAGGTGCGCAGGCAGAGTAGCAGCTTCCATATTGGGCACTGGAAGAGGATACAGCGAGACAGGCTGCTAAATAAATCCCAATTTCAACTTTGACCTGCCTCCAAAGGGAAATTGGAGACTGGGGATGAAGAAATGAAGGGGGATTTAGGTTACCAGTGCCCTTATTCACCTTTCCTGAAGCAATCTACAGTGGCTATTAATGAGAAAGCAGCCTAAGCTCTGATTCAGTGTCAATGAGGCAACTAAGCATTAAAAAAAAGAAACATGATGAGAGAGTTCCACATGTGGGGGCATTTAGACAGCGATATTCCTATTATAGGACAGAAGTCTGATGGTGACAAACTCTACCATACAAAGAATCAGCATTAAACAAGCTTTTTAATCTTTGACTCCTCTTCCCAAGATCTCTGATCTTCCCAAGTTCAATCTTGGACAAGACACTACATGGTAGCAACTACTAGGAGATTGATCAGCCCCTAATGTGAATCATGCTCATGTACTATAATTATCTTATTCAATAGCTCACAACATTGCTCCCAGAAAGGAGGAGAGCTGGTTCACCCATGTGGTGTCATCAGTGTGTCATAAGAGTGGGTCTCTTCTGTAAGAGCCTGTAAAGGTGTTCTGAGGTCAAGATACCCACACCTTCAAAAATGGGGCTTTAACTAGTGCTGCGTCTGCACATAAAGGATACCAATGGCAACGGTTACATATTCACAGTCTGGCTTTTATTTACACATTGTGTTGAAAGAAGTAAAAAGAAAAAAAAACCCACACCACTCTAATATTTGTTCATGATATTGGTTCGATACAGACTGAAATAGCTGGGTTGGGGGTCTGTGGTACTGTGACAACAGGGAGCCATCTATTTTATTCAAATATAAGTTTTTCTATGTTTGGTTTGCTGTGCTGTGTGTGACCAGGGGTGCACTAGTTCCTAGAAAGAGAGCTTACACAGCATGGAGGAAGCTAACAGCAAACTATTTGGAGTTCTCAAGATATTTCATGCTTGCTACGCCAACAAGTTTGATTTGGTTTTTTGTTGCTTTGCAGCAGTTTGTGAATTTATGTTAGCAAATGGTGTTATGTAGGGAGCTTTGTACTGTTTGGCATTTTCAAAAAAAAAAAAGTTGATAAAAAGCTAACTTGTCAGTTATCAAATTAATTTAGGTAACTACCATGTCCAATTTTTAAATGTTTAAATATCGCTAATACAAAAAGACAAAATGGTCACTGAGATTTTACATTTCAGCTAAATGTATTAATATTACTGGCAACTGAAACAGCTGTGAATCCTTACTCGTGGTTCTGATGATGCGAAAATTATTAGCACCATCATAACAACAGAGAATAATTTGTTACAGACAAATTAGATAAAGACAAATAACAATTCTGATGCTTTTGCTAGCTAGCCAGGTAGCACTGGAGTATATTAACAGCTGGGAGGCTCTGTGCTACATTCAAGAACAGCTAAGACAGATGGAGGAACAAGAACAAGTCCAATGGGCACCGAAATTAGCTGTGCCCATTGTTTAGAAGATTTCCTGTTTAAAAAAAATAAAATAGCAGTTTTGTTTGTGCGTCTTCTTTGCGTGCTCACATTTCAGGCTGTTCCTCTGCACACAGTGTGGTGGCATGCTGCAATACCGAGAACTAAAAAAAAATGTGTTTTGTTTAAATTGGTTGAGTGTGGTTGAATGAATAAAGCAGTCCTATTGTGAGGGTACAGGGAACCAAGAGAGACAAAGATCAGTGCTACTCAAGGATAACAGGTGTTTTGTCCGATGCCACAGAGATTTAAGGATCAAATTAATAAATCCAAATTGAGATTTATTGGTTGTGTTTTTAAGTTAGACTTCTCTGCTGTGGACACATTAACACTAACAATAGCACATATCCCAATTTTGTTTAAAAATAAGTGGAAATTAAAAAGTGGCATTATGTCTGAAAAGCATAACAGGAAACCTTTTAAGGACTGAATGACTTTATTTCCTGTGACAATTATTTTTGATTTTTGTTAACCGAGTGAAAGAGTGGACTGCAAATTATTCTGGTTATGTGGTTTTATTTCATTTGTCATTATTATAATGACTAGCACAAACGCAGGCCTGTGGGTCTAGTTTGCTTCGCTCAGGCATAAAAACACAGACGTGTGTAATTTTATCGTGCCCTTCTTGTTATGTTCATTATCACGGTGTATATTAAGAAACTTGCTGTTCATAAACACCAAACAAATGATTTTTTTTAAATATATTGTACTACTTCTTTGCAGACTACTCATTAACTGTTTAAGACAAGGTAATCAGCTACAGGCACTATTAGTTACAGTTTGTTGAAAATGTATCACATTCCAGTGATCCCAAAGTGCCACTGTACTAAAAATTGTTTAGTAACATTTATTTAGAAATAACAATGAACACATATACGTAATGTAGACATAATGAGTCTTAAAAGTAAAATAATCCACAAAAACTATAGAGATGTAGTTGTGCTTTAATCCAATCAGAAAACGTCCAGTAGCAACTTGCATCTACCAGGAGTAGAAAGGTTGGGCTGGTGTGTCACATGCATGTGTCAAATTGTTGCATTTGACGGGCAGAATGTGGAGAGTTTTATCCTCACCATCTGCTATACAGTCAATCACAAAACAGTGCCTTTACACTCAAGCATGACATGCCTACACCTGCACCTACACATATCATAAAGCACATGAACAGGGATTCACACTTAGTAAAAGTCACAAATCCTGACTGAATTAAATAATACTTATAGTACCCCCACTTAATATTCAGCCACAGTCACGTCCTGAACTTGAAATGGCAAACGCATCCTGCTGCCTCATAAGCAACGTCATCATTCCGTCTTTCTCATCCATGGCAACAGGTATAGGACCAGATTCTGGTTGCCATAACAACTCAAACTGGGCACAGACGTGGAGGATGCAGCACATCTCGTCCTCTTTTCTCTCGTCTCGAGCGTTCGCCGTTATTGCCCTCGCAAACTATTTAGACATTCTTAAAATTCAAGTTTATGGATAATTACAGTCATTTATCAAACACTGTTTTCCAGCTTTAAATCCTTTGCACATCTTAACAACCAACATGAGGGCGGCACTGCAGACTTTAGGCCACTTATGTCAGGCTCAATAAGGCACTGTTTATCATCCCGCCGTCGGTAAGCACTAAACATCCATTACATTAACAGATGACATGCAAATCTACACATATGAGGTACTCAAAAGGAGTCAAAATTCTCTTAAGACTGAGAAACGTAGACAAACAAAAGCTATTGTGTGACACATTCATCTGTTTACTCTTCTGAAATGCTACGGTTTTACATTTTCAGCTCCTAGGAATTTAGGATTGATAGGATGCAAGCCCTCCACAAGCCCTCAGAGTGAACAGCAGTTAACTAACCACATCCTGACATCAACCTCAGCTGGTTGTTGCCAGCAGACATTTTGTG